CCAAGTTGGAAAAAAAAATTAGATTATTAACCATTTTTACATAAAAAGAAATATATGAAAAATTTTCAACAACTTTTAAATTTCTTAATATGGAATTAAATTAAATATAAGGTCACTTGCGGTAAATAAATAAATTTTTATTTTAATAAGACTCCTAGTCATAGCCACATACCTACCGTTTTGTCGATATCTAAGGGTAATATCGTCATTTTAATATGTGGGCGAAAATTCCACGCAAGTATAGGGACTTAAATATAATTAAACGAAAAATACAGGGACCAATCATGATATCTCAGCACCAACTTGCTGCCTCTCAGAAACGCTCACGAGAATTCTGTGTGAAACAAATTTAAAGCTTATTGTTTACTCTTTTCTCCTCCAAATTTCTAGGGTTTCTCTCGAAGAATTTTCTGTAAGTATTTTTTTTCTCGATGAATTGTGATTTTTGATGTATGTTTATGTTGATGATGGATTTGTTTGTGTGATTTGATTGATTGTTGTTTTGATTTTTGTGTAGGATTTGGGAAGATTGTGATTCGTTTGGGAAAAGTTGGATTTGGAACAAACATCAAAAATTTATATTGTAAGTATGATGAATGTTGTTTTCGTTATGAAAATTTTGTGAAAAACTGTTGGAATTTACGTTTTTTTGGATATGAACCAAATACCAATATTAGGTTATAAAGTTTTTTTTTTTTCGAAATAATAAGTAAGTCGTTTTATTTTAAATATGAGAATTTTAATACGAATTTGAATTTAATCGACTTCTAATATAAACATTAAATATCAACTGAAATTTCCCACGCTCCCACCCTCCTCAATTGTCAATATCCCTCAATTTTGAGATTTTTTTATATGAAAATTTAAAGTAAAAACACAAACTATCCGAATAATTTAATATATATTATTTGTAAATATAAATGAGTGCCAATTAATGCTTTATTTAACTTTTTATAAATGTATATTTGCTCTTAATTTTTAATGTGTTAAATTAACACACATCCATTTTTCAATTTTCTCTGTTTTTGCTCATTGCTTCTCCAAGGATCACTCCCCTGCGTTCTTTTTGCACAGAGATGAGTTAGATTTTGCAGAATCTATCTAAAGTTTCAATTTTTATCCTAAGAATGGTTATTTCTTCTCAAATCTTTGCATTATTAAAGATACCCTTTTGGTATTTCAACTTTGTTTCCTAGATTCGATCTTCAAAAATCCATCTTGATGCTTCCCCATCAATTGTTTATCGATAATTTGTCATATTCTTGCATCTTAAGCATACCCTTTTCGTATTTAGGCTTAATTTTATAGATTTAATGTTCAAAATCTTATTTTGATAGTACCCATCAAGTTTGTTTGCTCTTGAATATTTTGGTTTGTTGTTGTTGTTGTTGCTGTTATTGTGAGCATGCCCTTTTTGTGTTGCTAACTTTGTTTTTCATATTTCTATTTTGATTGCTCTGTCAAATTTGTTCTATATCTCTAAACTCTGTAATTGGTTTTAAAAAAATTGTCATAAATTGCAGTTCCAAGCATACCCTTTTCATATTTCTACTTTTTCTATGATTAAATGTTCAAGATCCTATCTTTTTTGAGTCCCTATTCAATTTTATTTTGTTTACTCTAGTATTGGTTGTGAAAGTTGGTCATGATTCTACAACCTTCGAATGTGTGGTTCTACTTTCATTTTCAGAGTGAATGTTCAAATTTGTTTTCTCTGTTCACTTTTTGTGGCTTTATAAAATTTGTCATATGGTCGTCGCTTTTATGCTTGTCATAGTCCCTATCAATTTTGTGTTTCTGTTAACTTTTGTATTGGTTTTAGAGACTTCAACCCAAGTGTTTTTGTGCAGATTCCAATTGGTTTATAGGTGATTTCAGAGGGAGCAAGAGGAGGTAAAGGAAGGATGGGTTACATAGGGGCTCATGGAGTGCAAGCCCTTCATAGGTACAAATACAGTGGGGTGGATCACTCCTATGTTGCGAAGTATGTGTTGCAACCCTTTTGGAGTCGCTGCGTCAATTTCTTCCCCCTTTGGATGCCGTAAGTTTTTCTCTGTTGATTCCTTTTTCCTTGGCAATTTGTGCATGTCTACAAATTATGGGTGTTTAAATTTCTTGTGTTCTGTGTAGTGATATCTTGTATAATGTAATTCATTATTTACTTCTTTAGTGATCTCACAGAGTCTTGCTGTCATTTGGCAAATTGGAGTACTGGAGTTTCTTTTATGACCTCCCGGGGGGGGGGGAGATTATCGTTATCAAAAGGAAATGAAGGAAATAAAGCTTTCAGGATCTTGGTACTGAGACAAACTTTTTGCCACTCATACAGCCTCCTTAATGTCAAAGTTAATGATAATGACAATAATAAAATAAATGAACTATGGAAACTTTGGGAGTATTGGGAAAGCATAGACCATTTCCTTCTGTGACGTTATAATAGGCTTTGATGCAGTTTCTTACATACTTACATACACACATATATATAACACACACACAGAGTGTATACTCATCAGGTACCAGAATAAATAATCTAACATGAATTTCTTACCTGTTTTAACAATTAATAGATAATGGCCTTAGCTTGGTTATCATGCTGTATCTTTTTCTCTGTTTCCGAAGTTAAACTGACCGTTGTTTTTTGGTGTGCATGTTCTGTATTTTCCCAGACCGAATATGGTACGTCCTTCTGTAACCTACAATTTTTGTTGCAATGTTATTTTCTCATTAATGTATTCTCTGCGAGGTCTGATAAATAACTTCCGTTGCAGATTACGCTTACAGGATTTTTGTTCTTGGTCACATCTGCGTTGCTCGGATATGTGAGTTGGACTTTGTATTTCTAGAGCACTTATCCATTGAAGTTTTTGTTAGTAGATGGTTTTTGTTACTTTTTCCTAGTTGAAAGGGGATATTTTCTTCAGCCTCTGCATTGGTTTTTCCTGCTTCTTGTTTTGAAGTTTCTCCCTTCAGTTGAATCTACCATATCTTCATGAATGGTGTTTTTCTTTCCTCTTGACCTTTCAGGAGGTTACTTTTCTCTCAACCTTTAGTACTGTTTCTCCTTCATACTGGGGTTTCCCCACTACATTATACCTCATATCAGCAAGCAAGCTATTACCTGTAGGAAGGAACTTACTTGCCTCCTCTACCCCTTTCTTTAACTACATAACAGACTCTCTCTCACTAAATATGTCGGGGTCTTAAGTGCTCTCAGGAGAATCCACAGGCACATCCATACAGTGCAACATTTAATTGTTTGTGCTTTTGCTTTTAAAAAGATTTTTAATTGCATATTCTAATTCTCTCTTACTGGATATTCTTTTCCCCAGATTTATTCTCCACTGTTGGATTCACCTCCTCCAAGATGGGTTAATTTTGCGCATGGATTGCTTCTCTTTCTGTATCAGGTTTGCCTGTCTTAGCCACCATCCTGATCTTCTCAATTTGTTCTTGTAGCATAATGTTTTGATAGTCGATATGTGTTTCGCAGTCATGATTATTTTAACTAGGTATGTACTCTTTGATTTCCATGTTTAATTTGTACGTAGAATTGTGTTTTAGTGTATTTTAAATTGGTGAACATAGAGGATAACGGGTGTCATTAGGTGTAATTTTCAACTTTTTTGACTTTGGATCGGTGGGAAACATAGGCTGTTACAAGTAAGTTTTTGAGGGCACGGTCCAATCTTTTAGTTTTCCATTGTTTTTGCCTCGACATGTGCGTGATCCAATTACCACATCCTGTGTTGGTCTAGAAGCGACACTTTAGATAAACTTGTATCTGAGGATCACTTGTTTCATTACCACATATAGAATGCTCTTTTATGACTGTATTTTTCCATTGGTTATTAGTAGTAGCATTTGAGGACAATTTTAATCTTTATGTCATGTGATTTTGACTATGTTACATGACTCTGGAATGCACAGTTATCCTTTATTGGTATTTTGAAGTATTTGGCATGGGTATAACATTTTTATGTTAATTTCCCTGTTATTTTGAAGAATCATAGCCCACCCATGTCAGAGTCATTCGATCTAGTTACAACAAGGTTGATCCATGTAAGATAGGAATTTTACCTTTAATCACACACACACAAAAAAGGGAAGCATTGGAGTTGAGGCATATGGTTTCTCTGCATAACTGTCATTATGTGTGGTTTGTAGTTGTTAGAGGTCTGAGAGTATCCGACTTTGATGCATTGATGAGAGTATTCGCTTGTGATGCACCGATTAGAGTATTCGCTTTTGATGCACTGATGAGAGTATTCACTTTTGGTATTTTTTGAATGTTTAGACATCTAA